TGTGGTGTACTGAAAGCTGACTAGTGACAAGAAGGGAGGGGTGTCTGAAATAGCCAAGATACACCTCCTAGGGACACCTACTATTGGTGATGGGTGGTGATTTGAATAAATGGTGATTTGAACAATGAGCAAGGCTATCCCTGAGGAACAAGGAAGAGAAGACTACTTTTATGATCATGACTTACAACCAATTAAAGCTGGTCCACTTATAAGCAAATCACATGGTTGTTAAGCGAATCCAGCTTCCCCAATGGATGCTTTTTGCTAGAATGCGTTTAATTACCATGTGATTTGCTTAATGATCATGTGATTCACTTAATGAAGTAATTTGCTTAATGACCATCATAAAATTGCAAACATGTGACCACAGGGGGTGGTATGACAGTTTGCAATAGTCATAAGTGTGAGTACAGGTCATAAAGTACTTTTTCCAAGGCTGTCATAACTTCAAACCATCATTAAATGGTCATTAAGTGAGGACTACCTGTGCCCTGCTGTCTCCACGGTATCATTTTGTGAAGTATGTCTTTTTTCTAAAACAGGAAAGGATGTGTTCAAATAAAAAAACAGGTACGACACAAGGGGCCAAAGACTCATTTCTTTGTATAAAATGGATACTAATGATTTGCTTATTTCTATATAGGTCCAGGTTTACTTCTGTTAAATATATGTAGATCTTGAACATGACAACTAGCACGGAAGTTGAATGTTTAAACTCTGAGCAACTAATACGCATTTGATACACTTATGGTAAAAAGCACTTTTTTATTAACTAACACTCATTTACTAACTATCCAACTAACTTGGTAGCAGAGATATAATTCTTTATGTATTAAGCTCTAATGTGCAAAAGGAGACTGAATACAAGTCATAACTTTGGTAACATTCCTTTCTGTATGGGGTAGATGCTTATAATAGAATTGCTTATTTTTCCTCTTACTTCATTGCTCTGTATAGCAGCAAGGCTGAGCTCCTAGGGCAGTGTTTCTCAACCTTCTGTTTGGGGAATTCTGGGAATTGAAGTCCACTCATCTTAAAGTTGCCAAGGTTGAAAAACACTGCCCTAGGGTAAAGAGCTAGAGCCCACTGGATCTACACACCCTGGTCCCACTTCCTGCCCTGGTGTACCCGCTTGGTACATGGTAGGGTGCTTTACATAATGTCCTTCCTCATAAATCCACTCTGTGAAAGAGATAAGGCTCCTACAACCTATACTGCCATTCTCGACAGGTAATAGGGTAAAAACTGAGAAATTTGATTTCTTTTTTCTACAGTACAATCTCCTGACCCTGTAATATAGGGCAACTATAGTTTCCAGCCCTATGTCTCTTCTCTGAAATCAGAATTTATTAGCATAAATAAATGAAACAAAAGTACATATGAAATCCAGTTTACAAAAATACATGCAGTGTTTTTGGTATATCACAATATGGTGCTGGTCTGCTCTAATTAATGAGTTAGGGCATACAGTAATCCTTACTTCCAAATTAGATTTCAGCACAAAAGCTCACCAAAAGCAAATAAATCTTGGCCACATCCACATATTACACAGAATGCCCTTCTTGTGCAGAGAAATAAAAATGAAACAATAGGACTTCACTAGCTCACACAGAGAAATAAGGATCATTTGTTAGAGCTGTTGTTAGAGCAATTTGTTAGAGCTGTTGTACTAGTATATACCCCACTTATTTTCCAGGCTAAGCATAGCTTCTTGCTTCATTTTCCTGGCATTCTGTGTCTTAAAAAGATTCAAATCTCCTACATCCTGAAAAAGCAGGAGGAGTTACAGGAAATCTTCCTTTTGTGTACATGACTGAAAAAGCATTTCTTCCTCTGAATGTTGATTAAAACTCAAATACTAGTTGGCTACCAGTCAATGTGGAACTGAGGTTTACAGTCTGCACATTCATTCCACTGTTTCTGTAACAAGTTTATAAGTGAACCAACAGATCTTATCTTATA